CGCAGTAGACGTTAGATGAGCGCTGTCGCTATGCGGCACTTGTGTTAAAAAGTCTGGTTCCAAACTTTTACTCAAAAATGCTCTTTGAACCTTATACAGCACACTTTTTCAGAAATCCCACTATTCTATTTTACACTGTCTTTCCTTCGTTCACAGGTATCATGACGAATGGTTCGCTGCCGCGAGACACGCGCAAAAATGCATCGCCCACGTCGCCAAAGCCCTTTCCTCTACCGCAGAAGCAGGAGGACGCGTCCAACCAGATATCCGGACACGCTCCCCGAAGTCCCTTCCTCAGGAGAGCGCCACTGTCGCCCAACTCGCCAGGCCTGCAGCGTGCCAACATGCACATGGGCATCAGCCATCGCGTCGGCTCCCCGATCCGAACCAACGCTCCACATTCCTTCAGTACGACGCCGTCGGCTGCAGACAGCACTGACACAGCACAGCCTGACGGTGACACCAGCCCAGGAAGCGGTCCCAGCGTCGCTGTCGCGACCGCCGCCCCTGCAGGCGCGGGAGTCGAAGCAACGAGTCCGGGAAGCGGTGACAAGAGCGTGGACGTAATCACGTGTGCACTGGGCAGTGCGGGCAGCGGGGGCATCCCTGGTGGTGCGGGCAGCCCGGGCGGCGTGATCCCACCGTACGAGCCGGCGCGGTGCGACGCCGCGGCGAAGACGCCGCTCATCCACAGCAACGTGAACCTGTACGCGGACGAGGACACCGAGACGAACGACGACAACTACGTCGAATTCGAGAAGGTCAACGACCTGATCGCGCGCACCGTCGCCTCGCTCGCCGACATGGAGCACGCTAGCGCCCTCTCACCGCCGCCGCCGCCGCCGCCCGTGCATGTGGTGGTGACGAGCGCGCAGGTGCATGCTCCGCCGCCACACGTCGCCGACGCTAGTGGCGCCATCGCGGCGAGGACGGAGAACGGGTGCGCAGTGCCGACCGGCAAGCAGCGTGCTGGCTCCACAGCGGTGATCAGTGATGTACAAGTCTGTCTCGGCGGTGGGCAGCAGAGCGACATCACTAGCTGCTCGGGCGAGCAACGCGGTGCAGCGTCCGGTGATGAGAAACAGAGCGGTGCGGCTCCGCCCGAGAACGAACAGCGGGTGGATAGCGTCTCTCAGGCTGAGGTTCAGCGGTCGCCGCGGGGCGTGGCTGCCTCCTCGCCCGCGGTCACACTGAGCATCCAGAGTCATGCTGCGCTTCCCGACAAACTGCAGATTCATACTGTCGTTCTGACTGCCGACCCTGCGAAGGTGCTGTCGCCTAGCAGAGCACAGGACGGCGCATCGTCGTCGTCGTTGCCACAAAGAAAAGCGACGAACTCAGCCCCGCTCTGTGATCTGCCGTTGAAAATGGAGTGCGTGATGGGGCTGGAGCCCGTTGCTGAGGAACTGGAGCACGAGGAGGAGGAGAGCGATGGAGGTGATACGGACGATCGCGCAGCTGCGACGCTGACTGCCCCCGTGGGAGCTAGTGGTGAAAGTGCTCGTACTGGAGAAGAGCCTTCGCTTCAGCAGGCAGAACTCAAGCGCAGCAAAATCGAAGTGGCGAGGAAGATCGACATAAAACATCGGCGCTCGCCGGAGAGAAGCCTGCAGGTGGCGCCACCGTTTAAGAAAGAAGCCACAACCGGTGAACAAAGGCTTCCTCGCTCGCCAAGGACTCCCTCATCGCCCGGCAAGGATTTCGAGTTTCCAGTGATGGTGAGTAGATATGGCAGAGCATCCATCGGGAGTGATGACATCTATTCAGGATTGTGTAGATGTGGATGTGCATGAATGAAAATTTCATTAATGAAGTTTGCAGTCAGTAGTTTTACTGCAAATAGCTAACTGGAAATGTATAGAATGACTGGTAAGATAAATAGACAACATTGATGTCTCTTTTTCCAACGAACAACAGCATCAGCAGCTACAACAATAGCAACAAAAATAACAATAACAAAGATTGCATTTAGATGGTTCTGAAACAACCTTGACAGTATGATTTACAGCTGTTCTAAAACATAATGGGCAGCACGAAATAGCAGATGCTAATATTGAATCTGTATTGTAAATATTGACCAGATGGGAAGGATCCATAATAACCACAACGACGAGGCAAAAACATTGTAGGTTCAGTTGAGAGCATATAGAAACTGCAAGTTGGGAGAATGGAGTCCCACGTACTTGAACGCTTCTCATTCACTGTGCTAACATTTGTTTTTACTCGGTCGTGTTTGCTAAACGGCTGGTTGCAAGTTTTTGTGCTGGTTGTAGATTCCGATTTCCAAACGAGCAGTTATTGACGCCTTCTTCTTACTATAGAGCTTATCGTGGTGGAGCAATCGTACGGAGATGTACAGAAATAATTCTGTCGTCAATCCACCGCTTCTGTTTAATCCCGAGTGGTAACGTTTTGCCTACAACCGATCTCCTGGCACTCGGCTGCGGCTTAAGAGATTCACTATCGCAGTACGAGTGCGCGCGATGCTGCGTGCATGGTTGCGTAACAGATTGCATAGGCAGTGAATTGAGTGTAAACCGTTATCGAGGAAGTGAATTGACGATGACAGAGTTATACACGCGTATCGAGGAATGGGAGGTGAGTTTTCCCTTGCTAACGATGATGGTATTTTTTATTTCATGAACTCTCCGTGGGTCCTCCTCTCGAAATAATGCATTGAGGTTTTGTGCGCCTTTGTGGTTTTAGTTCTGTTCGTTGTCCCGCAGTCCACAGATGGTTACGTCACGTAGATATTTCAAACGACGGAAAATATTTCGCCATTGTCAGTATCTCAGTGTACCTTAACATTGGTGGGCTATCATTGACTATAGGAGCTATAACATCGTGTAGGGATTGATTCAGTCTCTCTTGGATGCACAAATTGCGGAATGATTAAATTCAGGGGTACAGTTATTTTCCTTGGGAAACTATTTCCGCGTAGCGCACTAAGCAAGTTTTCTCTTGATGGAAGTAGCCGGAAGGGCACATCGTATAAATTGTTTTCGGTATTGGGTGACATTGCATGGCCCGTGGTGTTCGTACGGGATTGGTAGTGGCATAGAATTCTGTTAGCATGTTCGCAAACTTACCTTATCGTGTTTAGGATCGTGTGCTAAATGAGGTCTTCGCGAAACCCCATTTAGATGCGTACTTTGTAGGCTGAGTTTAGCAAGGAGACTTTGAATCCTGACAAATCGAAAAGTAGCAATATATAAGCAGGTTAGTCAGAGTAATTGCCTTCAGATCGTCTGCGAGGCAATATTAGTTGGAGGGGGATAACGTCTCTTGCATGCCAAGTGAAATGTAGAAGAATGTGTGTGTAGTATATAAGAGAGAGCACATGCGAGATGGATATCTACATATCTCTTCTTCTCTCTCTCTCTCTCTCTCTCTCTCTCTCTCTCTCTCTCCTCTCTCTCTCTCTCTCTCTCTCTCTCTCTCTCTCTCTCTCTCTCTCTCTCTCTCTCCTCTCTCTCTCTCTCTCTCCTCTCTCTCTCGCCTCTCTCTCTCTCTTCTCTTTTCTCGCTCTCGGCTCTCGCTTCTTCGCTCTCGATCTCGATCTATATCTCTCTCTCTCGCTCTCGCCTCTCTATCTAATACTTATATTATTATATATATATAGTAATAATAGTAAATATTTATTCTTCCGCTCTTCGATCGTATTATATATCTCTCTCTCTCTCTCCCCTTCTCTCCCGCTTCTCTCTCTTCTCTCTCTTTTCCTCTCTCCTCGCGCCGCGCTCTCCGCATCATCTCACTCACTCACCTCTCTCTCTCTCTTTCTCTCTCTTTCTCGCTCTCTCTCTCCCTCTTACTACTTTCTCTCTTTCTCTCTCACTCTTCACCTCTTCCTCTCCTCTCATTTCTCCTCTTTTATACTCTTTTCATCTCTCTCCATTTCTGCGTCACTGACCTATTCCGCCTACTTCTATCCCTCTCTAATGCTCTCTCGCGCTGATCTCCCTCTCTCTCTCTCTCTTCTCTCTCTCTCTCTCTCTCTTCTCTCCTTCTCTCTCTCTCGCTCTCTCTCTCGCTCTCTTCTCTTCTCTCTCTCTCTTTCTCTCTCTCTCTCTCTCTCCGCTCTCTCTCTCTCTCTCTTTCTCTTTCTCTCTCATATAGAAGTAGCGGACAAGGTCAGTGACAGAAAGGCAGAGAGAGAGAAAAGTGAGAGGAGACAACCAGTGAGAGGGAGAGAAGAATAGATGAACGAGGGACCAGCGAGAGAGCGGCGAGGAGATGAAATGCTGACTGATCGACAGAGAGAGCGATCACGAGGGAGAGAGCTCGCACCGTGACGAGAGAAGAGACCCGAGAGACGAGAGATGAGCAAGCAAAGAGAAGAGAAAGGACCGAGAGAGAGGAGATCGAGAGGATGACGACGAGAGAGAGAGAGAAAGAGAGAGAAGAGGGAGGGAGAGAGAGCTGAGCGAACAACGATCGGCTCTTGAGGCTGTGTATCGTGAGCTGTAAGCGGATGCGGAGTTTACGCTACTGTTTGTGCACGGTGCCGTGTGATCCATGCTTGCCGAGCTCGGCATCTGCTTGCGAAAAAATACGCGGGACAAAAGTGTCGTTCTATTTTTTCGGGCCGTGCAGCGGCACCGCCGACGCCTTCGCGGCAAAGCATTCACGCGCACCTCCGCTCGCACGCCCCGCCCCTCTTCCCCTACGATTCTCACCGCCTGCCACCGTATGCTCTCTCTCGCTCTTGCTCTCTCTCTCTCTCTCGCGCGCTATCTCTCGCTCTCTTTCTCTCTTGCTCTCTCTCTCTCCCGCGCTCTCTCTCTTCGCTCTTTTTCCTCTCTTGCCCTCGCTCTCTCTCTCTCCTCCTCTCTCTCTCTTTCTCTCTCTCTCTCTCTCTCTCTCTCTCTTGCTTCGCTCTCTCTCTACATCTATCTATCCATCCATCTATCTATCTATCTAATATATGTCTATTTATTGATTTTTCTCTCTCTCTTTCTCTCTTCCTTTCTGTATCTCGGGCACTCTCTCTCTCTCTTCTCTCTCTCTCTCTCATCTCCCTCTCTTCTCTCTCTCTCATTCGCTCTCTCTCTCTCTCTCTCTCTCTCTTCCGCTTCTCTCTCTCTCTCCCTCTCCGCTCTCTCTCTCGCGCTCTCTCTCTCTCTCTCTTCTCTCTCTCTCTCTCCTCGTCTCTCTCTCTTCTCGCTCTCTCTCTTCTCCCCACTCTCCGGCCCTCTCTCTCTTTTTATATTAAATCCTCTCTAATCCTCCTCTCTCTATTCATATCCTGCATCTGTTTTATACTTCTTTCTCCCTCTCCTCTCTCCCTCATCTCCCCCCTCTCTCTCTATCTATATATCTCTCTCCCCATCTCTCTCTTTCTCTCTCTTTTCTCTCTCTCTCTCTCTCTCTCTCTCTCTTCTTCTAAATCTCTTCTCTCTCTCTCTTCTCTCTCTCTCCTCTCTCTCTACTCTCTCTCTTCTTCTCTCTCTTTTTTCTCTCTCTCTCTCTCTCTCTCTCTCTCTCGTGTCTCTCTCTCTCCTCTCTCTCGCTCGCGCATCTCATCATATCTGCTCCCACTCGCTCTCTCTCTCGCTCGCTCTCTGTCTATATATCTCTCTCCCCCTCTCTCCCGCTCTCTGTCTATATCTCTCTCCCCTCTCTATTTCTATCTACATTATCTCTCCCCCTCTCCTCCTCGGCTCTCTCTATCTATATCCCTCTCCCACTCTCTCTCTCTCTCTCTTTCTCTCTCTCTACTCCTCTCGCTCTCTATCTCTCTCTCTCTCTCTCTCTCTCTCTTGTCTCTCTCTTCTCTCTCTCTCTATTCTCCCCCGCCTCTGCACCCGCTTTCCGCCCCCCCTCTCTCTCTCTTCTCCTACTCTCTCTATCTATAATATAGGTCTCTCCCCTCTCCCTCGCCGCCTCTCTATCTATCATCTCTCTCTCCCCCTCTCTCCCGCTCTCTATCCATATCTCTCTCACCGCGCTCTAGTCTATATCTTCTCCCTCTCTCATCTCTACTTATCTATATATCTTCTCTCCCCTCTCTCCTCCCGCGCTTCTCTTTATCCATATCTTCTTCCCCTCTCTCTATCTCATAATTACTCATCATCTCTCTCTCCCTTCTTTCTCCCGCCTCTACCTATCCAGTTATCGTCTCTCCCCCTCTCTCTATCTATAATTATATATATATATATATATATAATTATATATCTCTCCCGCATGCTGGTCAGAAGCGCAATCTGTGTCAACGTGGCGAGCTCGCGCTGGCTCAGTACGGAGCGAGGTCGCACGCGAACTATATTTGAATTTATGTCAGTCGTACAATGCCAACAGACCTTTGGTCTGCCGGTGGACGTGTACTTTGGGAGTTATCCGCCTAACTTTGCCGTTCGCTCTCGCACGCAGCATAGCGCGCATTTGTTGGCTTGCGTGCGTGCGTGCGTGTGCGTGCGTCCGTCTGCTCATACGTGTTGGCAGCATCTGGCAGCAGCGCGTCGTGATGAGCCGTCGGCTAACGACTGCTTTTCGCACCTTGTCAAGATCATCTGCTCGCCGCCACTACGCATGCGGTGCCGCCGTGTTCCGTATGCAGCTAATGCACCACCGATCGGTGAACCAGGTTGTTTAGCACGCGAGTGGCCACAGCTTGGAAATCCGACGGATTTAGTGTCAGTTCAGATTCCATCCACGACGATAGTCGCGGAATGGTGCAAACACTGTGCAAATAGGCGATTGGTATTGGTATCGGCCAAGCTCGGTGTGAGACAGACTGCTATGCGTGTCTTGGAATTGTGTCAGATCGGGAATGACGAACGAATGCGTAATTTTGCTCTGAGAAGCGCGCACCTTCCATATATAGACGTGATTGCCTAGCCGTCTCGGGAGCAGTGCGATGCAGACTTCATTTTGGTGGCAGGAGCCGGTGTGAGAGCACACAACATCTGAGCTTTCTGTGGTGTTATAATGCTCTAATCTCTAGCAGTTATTGAACTTAAGCAATTAGCGAACATTACGTGAAATTGTGATACATACGTGCGTCAGCCAGCAGCGTGTCATCAAGGAAAAAGGAAATTCTTGGTTTACATGTTTGTACTTTGCAATGCAACGGTATTTTTTACAAGCGCTGTTGCTAATGGTTGGTAACTAGTGTGCAGATGTAGTGAATTGAGTGCGATCATTCATGAATCACTGATACTACTGTGCGCAATCATGGAGCCAAGGAAATTGGTACACATGTTTCCCATACTCGAAAGTCATTCTACGAATCATATGAATATAAAGAATGTAACCTCATCTATTGACTCGTTGTTTAGTGTGTTTAACGTTTAAATATAGCAATTTAATTTTGTGTGGAAAGTGTGTTACAGTTACAATGTCTGCTGCTAACTAGACAAATAACTATAGCTAGAATCCAAGGACGAGTGAAGCTAGGATACTTAGAATGTTGTTGTGCCAAACACTTCAAAGAAAGGCGACTATATTGTCCTATATAGTACTGCGCTGATTTAGACGTGACACTGATTTCTTCTCTCTATTTCAGCTGCCACAGGACAATGACCTGCGAAAGCACGTGTATAAGCTGAAAAGCACCAAGTCAGACCTGATCAAGCGCATCTCACTCATGAAGCATGACATCGTAGACATAGAGACACAGCAAGGGGAAGCCATTCGAGAGGTATTAATCCGTGATTAAGCTCATTGATGCATATTTCCATAGTTTAATGTAAAAGTTGGCATTATTTCCATATTTGTTTGTTTAATACCAAAATTGAATACACATATGTAAACATAAATGAAATATATTTTTATATATTACTCTGATATAAGCAATGCAAGCGACTAATATAACGTTCACGCAAATGTTACTGCGTTCAGGACGCTAATTTGAGACAATATGTGTACCAAATATTGCATGATTTGCTGAATTCGTATTTTGTTCTACTTGATTTCTTCTTGTGTTTTCTAGCTTGAAATGGAGAGGGCGCTACTAGAGGGTGAGCATCAGGTTCAGATGGAGAAGTTGCAGCACGACCAGAAACGGATTAATCAGCTTAAGGGCCGTCATGTGGCGCTCCAGCAGTCTGCAGCAGTGCAGCGTGCTAAGGTGACGCATCATTGCAGGGATAGTGCGCGCTTAGTAGAGCTACTGCAATAATTATATAATAGATGTCTCTGTGCATTATATAAGCATGGTCTATTTTTAGTTATTTATTAAAAATATTCGGTCTATTTGGCATGGTTCAAATTTAAAATTTAAAAAATGTGTGCATTAATTTCTTTATTCAGCGAAGCCATTTGTGGCAAGATCTATAATGATATATTTTTATATCAATACACTGTACTACATATGTAAATAGATATTTTAAATCTTCAAACAATTATGCAGATTATATGAATATGTTTCGTAAGTCTAGTAAAGGTACGCTGATGACAGCAATTCATTTGATTGTAGCAATTTAGGTTTGAAGCCTTGCTAGTTATGTGTGTGTGTATATGTGTGTGTGCGTGCGTGCGGGCGTATGTGCAGAGTGATGCACACATATTTGTAATGCCACTTGCAGATAAATATTTGAAGCATTGCATGTCAAATGCAACGTAGTGAAAAGCCACTTCATTCCTCTCTCAAAACATGTACAACTTGTATAACTCTTAAAAATGCATTGTGTAATTAAATATTCACTTGTGTGTCTGTAAACACATGAGCACATTTGTAGTCTAACTCCAGCACACGCATTGTTATAGTAACTGCGTTCTATTATATTAATTCGACCAAGAATTTTGGACACCTGTTGCTTTAACTGAATGTTTTTGGGTGCAACTTATAAAAACATATTTTAATTCAGAATTATCCTGTATTGTCTAGATATTCAGGTATCATTTATGCGCACCTTGCTAAAGCGTTGTCGCATTACAATCATCGATAGATGTTCGGTTGTTATAGAGCCAAAAGCGGATTGAGACAGAGCGAGTAAAGCTGGAAGCACTGGAGCACCATCTATACATGATGGAGCAGCAACTTGAAGACATATCTTCTGAGCAGGAAGAGGAGGAGCTGCTAGTAGATTACAAAATTGAACAGGAGGTGGGTTGAGGTCAAGTATACATCGCTCAGGGACAGACATAAGTTCGCCAGGGCAGGCTGAGGTGGAGTTATATTAATTCAGAATGGAATTATTGGGAAACTGATTACAAAACTTCAGTCATTGGAGTATAATTTAAAATTTTCCAATTTAGCAGATTGCAATGGCGCACTGCCATTGCAGGTTCAAAAAACGAAATCTTGTGTTGAATCGCGATCAGTGTTCAGTTCTTCTTGTACTGGGTTAGTACGAGCAACGACTTCATATCATCTACACGTTCAGGAATGTAACATAGGATTGACGTGTACTTTTTTCCAGAAATTAGAGAATGAGCGCAAATTATTCGAAGACCTGGAATTCCAGCAACTAGAAGCTGAGGCCAGGTTTGAGGAGGAGCAAGAGCAGCTCCAGACTCAACTAATGGATGAGCAGAATATGCTTATCGATAAATATAAGGCAAGAGAGGTTTGTGTATATGGGTCTGGGGACGGCCTATCCTTTCATTTCCGCACGGCATGCTCGTTTTATGATTTATATTTTAGCAATATTAACATTTGATTTACATAATGATTTTAAACCAGTTTTATACGTTATTATTTTACTTCACTTCATATACCGTACAACTGCGGTTTGTTTATATCATTTAATTTTCATACTGTCATTGGGCTTAAGTTTCAGTTGCATTTGATGAGATTTGTAAAAGAAATATATGTTTTCATTCTTTATAATAGTTTCAGCATTTTCATACTGTGTTTTGAGAATTTCGTCATAATTAAGCTTGAACAGCTACATTCAGTTGATGTATATTTATTTATTTTGGGTGGACTTCTAAGACTAATTCTAACTAATAGCTACGGGAGGTGGTTTGGATATTCGGCACGCTGCACCATGCATGTTATCAAGGGCACATAAATACTTTACAGGTTTATGTGTTTATGTGTTCCTGCCATTACAATTTCCACATCTGAACGGGAACATAAGCAGGAACAGTATAAGTTTATCTATTGATAGAGGATATAACTATAAAAGGTGTCAATTTTCGGTTTCATTAGCAGTTTACTTGCTAATGTATAGTAGCAACCCGTTCAACTGGAATAATTTGCACACGATATAATGTTAATAATATTTTAGACTAAATTGTTATTTGACTGCATTAGATAGACATAGAGCAGGTACTAACTATTAAATAATATGATTTATTCAGCCGGTTATAATATAGATACATATTGCTGGTACAGATTTATATTCTGTTTTCATCAGCATCATGTATGTGTGTTTAGTTAACCATGTTAACTGAATTAGATAATAACCCACAATTCACGTAATAGATAGGAAAGTTTATTTCAGTAATGAGTGAACGAATTGAGCTTAAAATCACATCGAATTAAACGTTCAGATGTCTGTATACGCATTGACGCAGGCATGACTGCGTATGCATAGCATACATCCTTCTTTGTAAATTGGTTTCGGGTGAGGAATTTGAAGATGAACGACACTGACTTCGGTTAAAGTTTTCTATACACATATCTTCATCCATGAAATATGAGATTCACCGGACTCAAATGTCGTCACAAAAAGCGATCGACAATGTCGAAAATTATAGACGGGGGTTTTCATTTTCTGGTGCATTGATGTCGTCCTGCAGGCTAAGCTGCAGGAGATTGACTCGCAACAGCGAGAGATGCTCAACCAGGTGAAATTACAGACGGAGGCACTGGAGAGGGACAGACAAAAGCTTGTGGAAGAATTCAGAAGGGTAAGAAAGGGAGAGGCGCGGGGAAGGGTGATGCAGTGACAGCAGTGTTTGCCGTAGTAGTTGTTGGCAAAGAACCAATTATACAGACGTGCAGGCTCATGAAAGGTAGACTGTAAAGGTATTTTTGATAACACAAATTTCCCATTGAGGAAATTAAAAGGGAGAAGGAACGGACAGAGACCGGGGAGCATGGTGGTAGAAGGAGCAGCCAGTAAAGCAGAATGTAATTCATGTTGACAGTCTAATTTACAGTTCTCAGTTAGGAGTGATAGGTTAGAAACCGAGTAGCTTGGCATCAAATGAGCATAAAGTTACCTTCCACTATTTTTGAGACACAGAATGCTTGAGCAGGTGCTTACGCGAAAATTTTGGGTAGTGAAACAATGTTAACAGGGTAGAAAAATAATTCGTATAGCTGCAATGGTGCGATGTACAAATATGTATACGAATACTATATTCCATTCATACATCATTTACTACTATACAGGAAAAGATGCGACTTGGAATTCTCGATAGAAAAATCAAGCAGTTTACAGCGCTAGGCCTCATGACGCCGATGGAGAGCGTTGAAAACAGTGAAAACAACAGTGAGAGATCATCCGACAACGAGCTCGACAACGCACTGGTGGGTGCAGTTAGTTATATGTGTGTTTATGTTTTCGCCCCGGTTAGTTTGTTTGTTGGTATGTTGGTTTGTTTGTTGGTATGTTGGTTTGTTTGTTGGTTTGTCTGTCAACAGGACATTTCAAAAAGTTTTTGATGAAATTGTTTGGACGGGTTGGTTTTGGGCCAACAACCAATCGATTAGATTTTGGTGGTGATCTGGATCCAGGATATTTTTGTGGGGAAGACGCATTCAAAATTCATTAAAAAAATCATGGATCTTTTTTTTCAAATTTCTAAAAAATTTCTAAAACTCTATATTGGGTGTACCAGCAAGATGGGGGGACTGTTACGCTGTGGCGGAAGTTTGCTATCTCCGATTACTCTTGTTTCTGCTGCCATGCCAAGCAGTTAATATCGAGGGTATTGACGCACTGGTGGTATTAGTGATGAGGTGCCTGTTGTTGTCCCTTATCTTGGCTTCCGGCTGGATTTTGCTTCATTTTTTCTTCCTCGTCCAAATTTTTCTGGATTGCTAAGACGTAGTATGGCCATGTGATTTGCCTGTGATCACTACTAAATATGCCAGATGGCCTCATTCCATGGTGTTGCTTTTTTGCGTTTGTATGGGGAAAACAACAACATGGGGTGGCATTCACTTGTTTTTTTCAGCGTAAAATTGTATAGCTGTTGGTTCGGAAATATTTACATGTTACTATTGATTCAAGGGTTATACTATAGCAATCATTTAGTTTATTTAAAGTACATACTGACGTTATACAAAAAATGCAACTCATATTCGCTACTTGCATGTGTCCGCGCACTCGGCGTGTGTCCTTTACTCTCTGACATAGAACATGTGTTTATATTTATAGTAACAGCAGGCCTGTTGCGTGGGTTGAATATTTTTCTTTCAGTAATTTTTCTGTGATACGCTCAAGTATTTTCCAGCTCAACCAGTGCTACGTGTTGCGTTGTGATTGCTTTATTAGCCTCGTTCACACGAGACCTCGTATTTATGAAATACGGTATTTGCGAATTAAACTTCAGACTGCGGACGCCGTCATTTTGCTGCGAACTCCGTCTTTTTGAGGGTAGGGAGTCCGTTGGACTCCCGTGTTCAAAAGTTCATTTCTACCCCTGAAATACTAATCAAACTTCGTGCATATTTGTGGAATTTCGCCTCAAAATATTGCCTAACAGCTTCTCACAATTGTAGCAATTATCGCACGTATAGTTGTAAAGGTAGATGGAAGCGCAACTTTGTAATCATAGTCACCCAACGTAACTACAAGACGTCTGACATAACTTCGCCGTAAACCACTTCCTTCCAGCATCTTCACAATTACATGACGACGCTCCAGCTAGACCGATTCCGTAATTCGTTGATGATTAGTGAGAATTAGAGATAGGCTCAGCCGCAGGGACTTTTGAAATTAGTTTAAGCTTGCTGCAATTATAAATTCTCGGCTATGTGGCAGCACTAATCTGTGTCAACATCCGTGGCTCCCATGGTTCAAGCAAACAGAAATGGCGGCAGCACTGCATTTCAGGCCATAATAAAAATATTGTTTGTTTGCCCCCACCCGACCGACCCGCCAGAAAGGGGCCGACTCAAAAAAATTTATTGATCTTTTCCATTCTTTTTTTTTTTCAAATGTTATCACTGTACATTATATAAATCTGTAGGCAATACAATAGTCACGTTGGCTGTGCGCATTAGATGCAGGTTTATTATTATTATTTTATTATTACCAGGGGGGAATGTAATGACAATTATTTCATTAAAAACTGTTATTAAATTTCAGTTGTACTTTTAGTGTATAACATAGCTTGGTTTGAACTATTCGGCTCTTTTAGTTTCTCCTTGGTTTTCCTCTCTGAACCTCACGCTACAATAAAAACGCGTGTGTTGTAAATAAATGGAGCATTAGACTGACATATTCCAGCCATGCAGCTACCTGCACGAGACATGGCGAGGTGAGGTGACGCGGTGGTCATCATTGCGATGGATCCTGCAATATCTGCACACGTGAAGACAGCACACCTATGGTGACTACCGCTGACGGCGTGTCTGGGATCGTCTCCAATGTCTGATATTTACGGCATCTCGATCCCGCCTCTAACACGTGCACTTATTAGTGATTTCATTCCTCTCGGTACTCGCCAGCTCGCGTTACTTCCCCTCAATGCAGCACCATTTCGTTCTATCTTGCCAGCTGATAGCTGCTGCCCTCATTCTAGCAGTGCTTTATAGCTGGCTTGTTTCCTACTTTGCTCGTGCTCATCACCTACGGCATCGCTGCACAGTGTGTAAACGTAAACGCGTGCGCAGCAGCATTCACGCAAAGATCAGCTATTTTGGTTGCGATGCCACTCTGACCCTCCCTTCCTCCTTCCCTCCCATTCTAGTGCTGCGGTGCTGATACACGTTCATACTACTGCTGCTGTGGGCACCCCCCGGCTTTCTCTGCTGTTGTTTCCTCGTCACGTGCGCACTCACTCAAGCCTAGCGCAGACCTGCGACCTTTTCATGCAACTCGACAGCGATTCTAGAATCGCTGTAAAAATTGCTGTGAAATCGCTACGTCTGCGAGAACGCGCAACTGCAACCCGTAGCGATTCTGGTCGCTTGCGACGAGTTGCAAGAAATCAAACTGTTTTGATTTCGAGCGACTCGTCGCTCCCAATCGCTCCGAAATTGCTCTAGAATTGCTTCGAAATCGCATGTGTGCGCACACGCGGTGACACATCGACCGATCACTTGCGGTTGCCGGTTGCAGCGACGAGCAACCAAAAATCGCTGGTCTGTGCTAGGCTTCATCGCGCCACCACACGGAGGCTGGGCGAGCGCGGGAGCACCCAGCGGCTGGCCGGCCGCGGTTTTTTTCTTGCGTCGGAAGCCTGTGTCGGCCGCGCGGGCGCCGGCAGCTGAGAGATTTACACGGCAGATATAGCCGCTTGATACCCTACTCCCGGGGTCTGCTGCCGGCGTGTGTGTATGTGCGCAGGAGATAGAGAGAGAGAGATAGAGAGAGAGAGAGAGAGCGCGCGGGTGATAAGACGCACACAGCCGCGTGTGCGAGCGAGCGAGGAGTTAAGACGCAGAGAGCCGCGTGTGGCATCTCGAGTGACGTACACATACATTTAGCGGCGGAGGTTAGCGGTGAGGATTGTCTGAAGTTGAACGTGACTTGCTTAGGTACGTAGTATTAGCGTGGCGCCGCTTCCAGGCTCTGCTCCGAATATCTTCTTCCCATCTACGGTGGCGCTCTCTGTCGATCGGCATGCGCGTGCGATGTTCCGCGCCACACGTTCCCGTGATGTTCCGCACGCATGTTCTCGCGAGTGTTGTCGTCGTGCTGTTCAAACGCAAAGGCGTTGGGCGCTGTACGTATAGCTGCCTCGTGTTTGCGCGTGTGCGCATCGTATGCGAAGTTTGTGCTCTCGGCGAAAGTGGCGTTTCGTGTAGCGTGTGTTATGTGAGAGTCTACATAGCTGGAGATTTCACGGCAGCATTTCGTGGCGTCTCTGCCTTCCCAGTTCAAGCCGGCATTCGATATCTTCTGGATATGTGTAGACTGTAGATGGTTCTTTGCGCCTAGCTGTTTTTTTTTCTAGATACCTACCTGTCATTACGTGTTTATTTTTGCTGTTAATTTAGATGACTATCGTTTGATACCAGTGTGCTTACATCTTTTTTCATTAGACGTGATGTGTTCTTACCGTATATTAGTAAATTAGGTCATTAGTATAGTTGCAAAAACCCATATGACTCTGAAAGTTTTTGAATTACGCTCGTGTCGTAACAAATTGGGTTCGTGTATCTTTTTAGTGGCAAAAAAATTCTGCAATCATGTTACACAACTTCTTACGCTAGCAAAGCTATAGGTGCTTCATTATATTACATATCGTACTGATCATATGTTCTCACGGTTAGTGTGAAAGAAACGGGTTTTCAATGCGAACTGAGCGAATGTGCAAATCCATTACTCATATCTTTAATCTTGCGCACGTGAAGCCGTTGTTTGCACGCGGTTCTTGTAATAAACCGGTGAACATGGCGGCAATGCATGTTTAGTGGAGCCTACAGTCAGACGCCCTAGGTTTCAAAATCAAGAAGAGGTCTTTCATACGTTGTTAGTAGTAGGGGCCTATTTCGTCACTCACGCGAGACACCTATGCACTGTATGCTGCTTCTGCGGTAAAGAAGCTCTCCCATTTCGTATCAGCAGACCAGTTATAATTTTTACTGATGCAAACACAGTAACGCGTGATTGCTATACACACGTGTGTTTTGTTCATTGTCTTTACATACACGTCTATATACGCGTGTCTTCCTCTGATTTTTCTTCAGCCACGGTCGCGAGACCTAGAGGAGCGGCTGTCCAAGCTGACGGTCAACGAAGGCCTCGAATACCAGTCGAAGCACGTCTCGTACGCGAGCACCGTCACCGATTCCTCTCACGAGAGCACGCCCGAGCTACACGCCGCCGCGCCACCACCCCGCGTCCCCGCTTCCGCCGCCGCAGATCACCCCACGAGTCTCGCGCTGCGCGGCGTGGGAGCGCCACGGCCGCGCGGTGGTCTCGCGACGACGCTGAGCGTCGAGACGACCGATAGCGCCCTGCCGTCGAGCGAGGAGACGTCGCCGCAGAGTGTCGACACGCCCTCAGAGGAAGCCAAGCCGAAGAAGTGTGTGCAGTGGGAGGAGGAGGAAGAGGAGCAGGAGGAGGAGGAGGACGGCAGCAGAGACGATGGTGTCGTATCGCCGGGCAGCGACTCCGGGCTGTCGCCTTCAAGCGACGGCGTAGCGCCCCCTACCAGCTGCGAGTCGCTGTCGAGCGACACGGTGACGGTTACCATGGATACGGCAGCAGCGGATTCGGAAGAGCATGCGCCTGTGGTACGTTTTATTTCTAGTGTGTCGTTACTATGTTGACCAAGAAACGGCTTGTTTCTGCGTTCATCTAAATACGTTACCTCTACGTATACTACCCACGTCTACGTATACTACCCACGTCTACGTATGCTACCCACGTCTACGTATACTACCCACGTCTACGTATACTACCCACGTCTACGTATGCTACCCACGTCTACATGATGCTACCCACGTCTACGTATACTACCCACGTCTACGTATACTACCCACGTCTACGTATACTACCCACGTCTACGTATACTACCCACGTCTACGTATACTACCCACGTCTACGTATACTACCCACGTCTACGTATACTACCCACGTCTACTCTACGTATGCACCCACGATTTACGTATGCTACCCACGTTAACGTATGCACCCACTCTACGTATACTACCACGTTTACGTATACTACCCAGTCTAGTAGTACTACTCCAGGTCTACGTATACTACCCACGCTACGTATACTAGCCACGTCTAACGTATACTACCGAGCGTCTAGATACTAACTCACGGTCTAACGTATACACCAACGTCTACGTATACTACCCAACGTCTACGTATACTCCTACGTCTACGTATGCTACCCACGTCTACGTATACTACCCACGTCTACGTATACTATACCCACGTCTACGGCTACACGCGGGGCACGTCCTACGTCTACTACGCCACGTCTACGTATAATTATCACGGTCTACGTATACTACGACACGTCTACGTATACTACCACTCGTCTACGTATACTACCGACGTCTACGTATACTACCCA